CACATCACCATTTAAAGACCCCATAAGACTATTAAGTGCAGAGTCTGAAGTAACCTAATTGCACCATTGTCTACCTCACTTGATTACTCCAAATATTTCTGAGTATAAAATAGCATCACTTCTCTGGCAAAATGTAGCCTATTTATTTACAGGTCAAATTTGAATCTCCCACTCTTCTTGGTTGAAGAGTAACTTTAGATGTGGGAAGATATTTTAGGGGGCTTTCCCCCCCTGTGGAACAAAGCCAGATTTAAAGGTTTGCAGTGGTGAATGATTGCAACCCTTGATCCACAGCCAAAAGCATTACATTACATAAAGAGTTTTTGTCTTCATTAGGAATTAATCTGTACTAACCAACTGTCAGTTGGTGATGACAGTTTATTGCCTTCCCTTAACAAGGCAACAGGACATACTTAATTTATCTATTGAGCTAGATATGAAAAGTAGAAACACACATACCTACATATTTTAAAATCAGCTATCCATCATGGATGCCCACAAATGTACCATTTTATGAGTGTATTTTGCTAACTATCTGGAAATAAGTTGATTTTGCTATCTAGGCCTGCTTTCTTTTCCTATCTCACTGTCTACATACCAAAAAGCATCTGCATCTGTGATGACCTACAGTGGTACCTCAGTTTACGAACTTAATTCATTCTGGAAGTCCGTTCTTAAACCAAAACCGTTCTTAAACCAAGGTGCGCTTTCCCTAATGAGGCTTCCCGCTGTCGGTGCCCTTCCACTGTTTGGCTTCCGTTCTTAGACCGAGGTAAAATTTGCAAACTGGGAGACTACTTCCAGTTTTGCAGAGTTCGTAAACTGAATAGTTTGTAAACAGGGCTGTTCTTAAACTGAGGTACCACTGTATTTCCATACAGACAAAAATAGAATGCTCAGTGCTCTGGGAAAAGACAGAAGAACAGCAGAGAAAATACAGGAGGGCAACATTCAGATTATGACATCAACTGATCAAACCCTTACTGGCAAATTTGCTGGGAAAATCTGAAGCCTCCCATATTAAATATCTTTTGGAAGACAGGTCAAATGATATTACACTGGCCATGGCAAAGTTTCTTTCGGAGGTTATAAGAAACAAAGATCATTATGCTCTAGGTAAAAAAAAAATGACTGCCTTGGTTTATTCCATCTGTCTGTCTGGTTGTTTTAACTGTATCTAGTTTTGGAATTGTTTTGTGGGTCTTTGGACCGCAATAAATATTGATTGATTGATTATGACATCACGTAGAAGAAAAAGTTGAGTGAACAAAGTGTGACAGTTCCACACTAAATGGCTTTTTTGGATGCATCCTAGAAATGTTTCAACTTCAGTTTAGATGAGATTCTGTGTACACAAGAATTATGCCATTCCCCAGTCTTGTTAACGTAATCCCACAACGGCCTGGTCTACACATGCAGTAGAAGAGGAGGTAATGGAAAGAAAGGGTCCATACATGATAGAATGCACTTTATCATTTCAGACTGTGTGTAGGCTGTATGTGTGCGTCACATTTTTCAGTGCCCCTATAAGGTTGTTTTTTAAAAAAAGTAAATAGATCTGAAATTAGAAAACTAGCAACAGCAGGGAGTGAGTTTGGATACAGACTCTTTCTGTGAGGGGCTTTTTTTTTAACTTGCAGAAAGCTTGCACATAGATTAGCAATTTTTTTTAAAAAAAGTCACATACCCACCAGTAGTCTGAAGTATTACAGTGCACTCTACCACCTCAGGATTCTACTATCTCATTCTTTTGGATGTGTAGATCAAAACCAAGCTGTTTATTGTATCAAAAAGTGATTTCTTTAAAATAAAAAGTAACAAGCATAACTTTTTAAGGTTATGGTGCAAAACAGTGTTTTATTCTGTCTTTCATTGCATTGCAATGAATGCTTGCCTGGTCATGCCTTTTGTTAAGCAGACTATTGGCTAATGTCCCAGAATGGTCAGGGTGACTTCTTCTCCAACAGGCAGGAAATAGCTGGACATTTCTTGAGTGTTTTGAATGGAAGAGAGCTATCAAGAGCTGGATATTTTCAGAGGAGTGTGGATCAGGGTCTTTAGCTACATTTTATACAGTGGTACTTCTGACTATAAGGGACGCGGGTGGCGCTGTGGGTAAAAGCCTCAGCGCCTAGGGCTTGCCGATCGAAAGGTCGGCGGTTCGAATCCCCGCGGCGGGGTGCGCTCCTGTTGTTCGGTCCCAGCGCCTGCCAACCTAGCAGTTCGAAAGCACCCCCGGGTGCAAGTAGATAAATAGGGACCGCTTACTAGCGGGAAGGTAAACGGCGTTTCCGTGTGCGGCTCTGGCTCGCCAGAGCAGCGATGTCACGCTGGCCACGTGACCCGGAAGTGTCTCCGGACAGCGCTGGCCCCCGGCCTCTTGAGTGAGATGGGCGCACAACCCTAGAGTCTGTCAAGACTGGCCCGTACGGGCAGGGGTAGCTTTACCTTTTTACTTCTGACTATGAACTTAATTCATTCTGAAGGTCCGTTCTTAACCTGAAACCATTCTTAATCTGAGGTACCACTTTAGCTAATGGGGCCTCCCGCTGCCGCCATGGTGCCGCTGCACGATTTCTGTTCTCATCCTGAGGTAAAGTTCTTAACCCGAGGTACTACTTCCGGGTTAGCGGAGTCTGTAACCCGTGGTGTTTATAACCTGAGGTACCACTGTACTGGATTTTAATTATGAGCTACATTAGAGGCTGATTGCTGATTGGAAACTGGGATGAAAATATAATAAATTCCGAAACGTTACAAGAATACCCATTTCCCCCCACAAACCTGTTTTGAAACAACAAATTCAGTGATAATGTCCAACCTTATGCTGCTTTTAACATGCCTTAATAGTATTTCTGTAGGCTCTTTATCATTGGTTATATCTATCTTTCTCAAAAAAAGAGAGAAAGACTCTTCCAAAGGAAACAGGCAGCTTAAGGCTGCTATAACTCTCAATGGCATGGCGGGGTCTGTTGTGCTCAGAGCAGGAGCAAAGTCATCTTTGACTTACTTTCGTGGATAGTAATGTGGCCTCAGCAGGGTCGCAGCTCTGCCCTTGTGATTGTCAGCTTATAGCTGAGTCACGTGAGATGGGCATATGAGTGCGAAGTGCAAGCAGATTAGCAGGAGATGTCACAAGCTGTTCAGTAGGACTGCTGTGCCTGCCGTTTTCCTGGACCAGACACTTCCGTTTCAGAGACACTGCAGAATAATAAATGGAACCGCTCAATTTGATCAACAATGCAATAGTGTGCTTCTTTTTGCAGGATAAATTCAAGGTGAAAGCATGAAGACACAAATGACATTTCCTCATCCTCATATTTTACCCTTATTTTACTGACCAGAAAGAGAGTGAACTCTCCTTAGGTGTCAAGGTGAATCCTTGACTGAGGCAAGATTTGAACTCAAGTCTCTCATGCCTCTTTGAGGCTGAGGGTGTTGATTTGTGATGCTACGTTTTCTAGGTTTATATGTGGCAGCAACAAGAAAAATCTTCCAGTCCTGTATGTTCTCTGTTGGTTCTTGCATCTTTTCTTTGAACACAGAAAGTCTTCTGGTTTTTAGAACAGAAAAGTATGATAAATTTCAGAGGCAAATGGACGCCTTTTGTGCTCCTTTAGGACAGTGTTTTGACATGGGTAGTGGCATATTTGGAAAGTGAACCTATCACAGCTCACAGCACACATTCGTGATTAAATTTATGGCCCAGTTTTTGTTATATTAATCAATATTCATTATTGCCAAAATGTTTTTGGGGGTGTTTTTACTTTTTGAAATATGGCAACCCTAATACGTTTATCTGGAAAAGTGTTCCAGTGATTATGAAAGGTAAATTTTTAAAATGAGATAATAAAATGGCACTCACAACAATGTGTGATGAGCTGCAAATGGCCCCACCCAGAGCACCTATGCCATGGCCACTGTTGTGAACAGAACAGAGTGAGATGTACAGATTGGAAAAGTGCAATACTCTCATGAATGTGAAAAGTCTGTTGCAACTTCACTTGTAATTTGCAATGCAAGATCAGTGACTGGGTCATATCGCAAGGAACCTCCTGTCTAGAAACTGCCTGGGTTGATGAAAAGTTGGCTGAATGACCACAAATGCATGGAAATTAAGAGGTCTTATTCTTTATTGGTATCCACTATTGAGCTAAAATTTTGAATCAGAGACAGCAAATACAGTCTCAGAGCTGTCAAACAATACTATGCTTCTGCTCAAGACTGTCATTTCAGTAACTGACAATCCCAGACCCGTACCCATGTCCAGGACACATAACTCCATCTGCTAGAAACACTTAGTTTTATATTCTATACATGCACATGTGCATATTAAGTTATCTAAGGCTAAGCTCTTCAGAACAAAGATCATTACGTAGCATTTGAATGAGAGATTATGTAGACAAAACAGAATGTAGCATCTGAATAACTCTCTCCTGCCACTAGATAGGTTAAGCAAGAGAGCTTGTAAAAATAAATAGCAATCTGTAGCCAATATAATTATTTACACAGCAAGTTAAATTAACCTGTATGCACACTATTTTATTACAGTTAAACATTTATCCCTGGTGCAAATCCACTGGTGTTGCTTGTGGTGAACCATGGCTAGCTTGGCCCCATTATTCCTGAAAATTCCGAATGATTCATGTATAGCAGTGGTGTCCAAACTTTTTTCAAAGAGAGCCAGATTTGATGAAGTGAAGGGCCATAAGGGTTGACCACAGGGGCCAGATTAAACTGACCGGTGGGCTGATTAGGTCCCCCGAAACGGACTTTGTACAGTGGTGCCCCGCAAGACGAATGCCTCACAAGACGAAAAACTCGCTAGACGAAAGGGTTTTCCGTTTTTTGAGTCGTTCCACAAGACGAATTTCCCTATGGGCTTGCTTCGCAAGACGAAACGTCTTGCGAGTTCTTGCGAGTTTGTTTCCTTTTTCTTAAAGCCGCTAAGCCGTTAATAGCCGCTAAGCCGCTAATAGCCGTGCTTCGCAAAACGAAAAAACCGCAAGACGAAGAGACTCGCGGAACGGATTAATTTCATCTTGCGAGGCACCACTGTACATGCCTGATGTATAGGAAACCAGTTTTCCTGGTAGTTCTTTATACTTCGCATTAACGTACTAATTAGCAGCAGGCTGCTTAGTTAAGTTACACTGACCACATCTGCACTTCACAGTAAACCAGAACCATGGTTTACTGAGCATGAATCAATTACACCTGCTCTTCTCTCCCATAGTGCTGGGGAGAAACAAACCATGGTCTCTGGCTTAGCACTACATAAAACCCAGGGATCATTATTTGTTTCACTCAAAACCACGGCAGTCAGCAGGGGCAGAACAGGATGGCTTACCAACACAGAGATTGTTGATGGTAACTGAAAAGGAGATGGGAGAAGCAGCAGGGAGGTCAGTGAGAATCAGATTTGTCCTTTCACTGCACCAACCTGTCAGCTGTCTTGACCCTCCACGCGGTGACCTCCATGTTGGGAAGCCAGGTAAGCAGCACCAAACCACTTTGAAGGCCACTGCTGCTCTAAACAAATCATGATGGTAAGCCAGGTTTTGTACTTGGCTGGTCAGGAATAAACCACGATCCCTGGTTCAGACATAATGTTATGCCAGGGATTTAGGTTTGCATCCTCTATGCATTAGCAGGGAATGGAGCAAGACAGCCCAGATTGCTATGTTCACCACAAACCTTTAATTATTATGGCCTACTGTGATATGCAAACTGTGCCTCTATCATAGCTGTCAACGTTTTCCTTTTTTTAAGGGAAATTCCCTTATTCTGAATAGGATTGACAGCTATGGCCCTGTATATTCATTATAAAAATAACACCCTACATTTACACTGGGCCTTAAAAAAGAATCTGAAATGTCTTAGCAATCATTCTTAGTCAGTCAAGCTTTCAAAACACTCCTGTGAGGTAGGCTAGTTCATCACCCCCTATTTTACAGATGGGGAAACTAAGGCACAATGTGGTGCAGCTACAACCCTATACCCACTTAACTGAGAGAATGAATTACATATAGAAATGAGCTTCTGTTTGTGAATTGCCCTTCTTTGTACAATCCTGCACATGTGTAAAATATTGCAGCATGGGGGAAAATCAGGACCAGCACACAAGGTTGCATACACAACTGGTTGGTTAATGTTGTCAGTTCTGACAAGCTTCTAATATCTGCTGAGGGGTGTGGAGATTAATTCCAGGATTCCCCTTTGTCCTTTCTTACTACTTCAAACAAGGATCTCTGGAGTGGGGTACCTACATATTGCAAAGTAACGAAGATAATGTATCTGATACTTCTCTGCTCCATTTCCTGCATGGTTCCCAGCTTTTGATATCCCCCTCTTAATATTTACATGGGAGTCTTCATTATATATTTCCTCCTTTAAGAAAAGCCCAGAATTATTGTCTATAAATTTTTTTTTCTCTGTATGTGTTCCTATGTGTGCATATTACATAACTGAAGATAGCATTTCCTACACCTGACAAAAATGAGCCCCCAAAATGTCATGTCGCAACAACCCTGTTCACCTTTAAGGCACCACTCTTTGCTGTTTTTGCATTCAGAATGAGCTTCAGGTTCATATTTCCAGTGTTATTTATCTCTAATTCAAATAAATAAGAAAAACCAGAGTACCAAAATGTAGAGCTTTGTGGGCCATGCCTAAACCTGAGCCTTATGTTGCAAGAAATAATCCTTTATGTTCACCTAGGCAGCCCTACTCCCCAAAAAGACAATAGCATTTAGTCCACTGAATGCCTAGAAGATGTATAACCCCTGACTGAATTTGTTCCCATGTACAGGGAACATTATAAAGATGGGGGGGGTGTAACTTTCCTCCTGCAACATACAGGAGTTTGTGAGGAGGGAAGAAAGGTAAAAAGTGCTTGTGGAAATACACTGGGATACCCAGCTATCATGTGCAACCTCACTTGTAAAAAGCAGCCTTCTTAAACAGCATCCTAAGAAAACCTGCTCTTTTTAAGACAGTTTCAGTCACCATATGAAGCCCCTTTTTCTTATCAGGCAGATTATCTTGGGTGGTTTGTCCATAGTAGTTGCAAAACAAACCCTACAGGTGTCAGCTTGCTACCCCTTATAATAAAAACCACCACATTCCCCTTAAGGGTGTAGCAGTTTCCCTTGATTTCAACATTTCATAGCAAACCCCAAATCTACTCCAGATCCCTTTTAAAAGTGTAGATCTGGCCATCCTATTGCCAGCATCCACTTGTAAAAGACACATGCAGTGACAGAGATCCAAAGCCAACAGGTGGATGTTTTCAAGTATGAAAGTCAAGACTATCAAAAATTAACAAAGGAATGGGAAGCCTAAATTAACTGGCACAGGTGAACGGTCTCCAAATAGCATTGTGTGCTACAGTGCCTCCTTTCCAAAACACACTCCAAAGGTGCAACAGGATGGGATTGCTTTCTCTCTCTGAGGCCAAAAAGCCTCAAAAATCACAATAGTCTTTAAAGTATCTCCTGGGAAAATCACTGCCTTAGCATATTCAGCAAAAGACAGACCAGTATATTAAATTAAAAAATATATAGGTGCCTGGAAATATTACTCTGGAGTATTTGTCAATGGCGTGTGTGTTTTGCATGATACGGAGGCTAACATGTCCCTTCAGCCCTTTCTTCCTTGATGAGTTAGACTCATTATTCAGGGCCAAATGGACCACCATCTTGTCTTGCTTATCCTCCTCAGCCACCATCTGGCCTCTTGGGTATCCTTCTAGGCTATTGGTATCCGATTCACTGTAAATACCATCCAGCATCATAGTTTTTGTAGAAGGTATTCCACACGTGCATGGAAACTGAGAAAAGAGAACAATAAAAGGCAGATGAAAACTCAGGCATTGCAAAAACAGAACAGGGGACAAACATTACACCTTGATTTTATACAGAAAATGCATTAATGTTGCAACTGAAAATCGTATTCTCTTTTTCTGCAGTTTCCCAAAGTTATTATCAAGACACACTAAACCCATACAGGTGTACTATCCATCTGCTCATGAAACCCTGTATGGGTTAAGCAAAGGTGAATTCAGGGTGGAAAATATTATTTGTGTGACATAAGATAACAATGTTTTAATTCTGAAATTTTGCATCCATTTGGACTTACATTTCCTTGCAGTAAAGGTGCAATACCAATTGTATAGGAATACTGGAGATCCTTTAACTACCATATTTTTCTTATTTTCTGGAAGTCTGCAGCTCAAAATTTGATTGAAAAATAGCTGAGGATAAAGACAACCTTTCTTTTTATACAGTAACACTGACTTATATAAATGACTGTAGAACTCAGAATGGTGATCACACAAATTATACTTTTCCTTTTCCTACAATTAACAACAATATATGAGTCTCCATAAAAGCAAGGTAAAAGGTAAATGTAAAGGACCCCTGGATGGTTAAGTCCAGTCAAAGGCGACTATGGGGTGCGGCACTCATCTCACTTGAGGCCAAGGGAGCCAGTGTTTGTCCACAGACAGCTTTCTGGGTCATGGGGCCAACATGACTAAACCACTTCTGGTGCAACGGAACACTGTGACGGAAGGCAGAGTGCATGAAGCCTTGTTTACCTTCCCACTGCAGCAGTACCTATTTATATACTTGCCCTGGTGTGCTTTCAAACTGCTAGGTTGACAGAAGCATCTCATCCTCATCGTCAAGGGGGACGCAGGTGGTGCTGTGGTCTAAACCACTGAGCCTCTTGGACTTGCCGATCGGAAGGTTGGTGGTTTGAATCTGCGCAATGGGGTGAGCTCCGTTGCACCATAAAAGCACAGGAGCCTGGACCCAACTCTAGTCACACAAGTGGCAAACACTACAACTAATCAGAGGAGGATGTGTATCCCCATCGGCATTAAATGATATTTCAAGCCAGCTGACTGGGGCCCCAAGTGAGCATCATGTGGTTCAGCTGCAGATCCACCTGATCAGATTCACATTGGCTGTATGTGTGGATCTCTGGTTTGCTTGTTTAATTGTGGGAAAGATGCATGAGCTACCCCTTTGCACGTGACATGGAAAGTGCAAATGGGATGCATATGTCATTCATGCATCTGTTCCGGCCCCTTAATTAATAATTAATTATAAAATTATAATTAATTAAGGTCATTTATAAGCTTCCTTCAGTAGCAGGAGTCTCAGGGCAGGGTGCAATTCAGAAGACACAATGAAAGCATAAAAGCAAAGCTACAGAGTTCACAGAAGCCACAACTTCTGTGTAATGCAAGAGGCCCGTCTATATTTTGTATTGCAAGCGTCTAGCTCCTACTATTATACTGGCTGAATCCAGTTTTGAAATGCGCACCTGACTGGTCAGGGCTTCGTCATGATTCATCAGGAGTACCTAAAAACAACGCAGCAAACACAGGGAAATGCCATACTGAATTTCCCCCTTCTTACCCTCCCTATATTGTCTTTGCCAAAGTCCCAGGTTGCAGACTTCCCCAGTTCTGATCTTAGTTTCCTTCCCTCTGTTGTTCCTACTATCACCAACTCCTGCTTTTGTGGTGTCAGGGATTCGGAGTCAGCTTGCATGCTCTAGACAAAAATTGTTCACACACACAGACACACAAGGGTCAGTTTTCCTCATTCATATTCACTAGCCCCTAATATATTAGTCAGGTGTGCAGGAAGTGCTTCTCACCTTTTCTCGCAGCTTCCTCTGCTTTCGCTCTTGCACAGTGGTCAGGTAGTTCACGGCTGCGTACTCTATCACCGAAAGGAAGACGAACACAAAACTGACCCAGAGGTAAATGTCCACAGCCTTGATGTAGGAAACTCGAGGCATGGAGGCATTGACACCCGTGATGATGGTAGACATGGTCAGCACCGTTGTGATCCCTGAAAAGGCCCCACACAAATGTTAAGGATTGGGTTTAATTTCAGCCAGGTCTCATAGCCACAGAACCTGTTTTCAAAAAAAACTATGGCTCAATGTGGTACATGTGAAGTGATAATAAAGAACAGAATCTGCTTGAGGGTGTGCAGACATCCTCACCACTAAGCAATCACAGTCAGACACCAGGCACACTGTGTTCAACGGAAGAACTTGCAGATTAGAGGGTTTGACTTGAAGGAACACTGGACCGCATAGACTATTTTAGAATTAAATTACTGTCAACAAGCATCTATTATGAAGCTGAGCTTAGTTTCAGTGTTAATCATTGGGTCTTAGTGTCTCCCCATTTTAGTTTGGAGAATACAGTAATTCAAGAATGAGAAACCTTTTGACCTCCAAAAGTTACTGGACTGCAACTCCCATCCCATCAAAAGCCAGTGTGGTATAGTGATTAGTGTGTTGAACTATAACCTGGGAAGCCAGGGTTTGAATCTCCTGAGTGACCTTGGGCCAGTCATTGCCTAACCTTAGTGGGGATTAAATGAGGAGGGGGAGAGCCGTGTACACCATCTTGAAGAGTTACTTGGAGGAAAAGGTGAAATATACTGTAAATGCAATAAACAAACAATCCTTACTGACCACAGGTCATTCTAGTTGAGGCTGCTGAGAATTAAAGTCCAACAACATATGGGGGACGACAGTTTCCCTGGCCCTGCAGTAATTACTTAGGTCCATTAACTCCAATGAGTCTACTCTGAGTGTAACTTAGTTGGATATAGCTCATAGGGACTCTGTAGTTTTCTGTAGTATCCAGCTCTGCCGTCCTTTATAAAAGTTGAGAGGAATCACTCACCTAATGATACTCTAGCAGGCACAGCCCTGCGATCGATCCAGAATGACACCCAAGATAGCATGACCATGAGTGTGGCTGGAAAATATGTTTGCAGCAAAAAGAAAAAGATGTGGCGACGTAACGTGAAGTTAATGTACAAGCGATTGTACCAACCTGTTAGGGAGAAAATGGCAGCTATTAAAAATGTGTGGTAGGCCTCCTTATGGCAGTATGAGCAATAAGTAGGTGAGACATAGTATGTAATACAGAGATAAAAGTCCAGCAAAGGGAGGACAGGGATAAAGGATGGTTCTGAAAGTACAAAAATAGATGAACAGAAAAGTAGACAAGGAAGAAATACTAATATTATATACTATTACAATGGTACCTCAGGTTAAGTACTTAATTTGTTCAGGAGGTCCGTACTTAACCTGAAACTGTTCTTAACCTGAAGCACCAATTTAGCTAATGGGGCCTCCTGCTGCCGCCGCGCCGCTGAAGCCCAATTTCTGTTCTCATCCTGAAGCAAAGTTCTTAACCTGAAGCACTATTTCTGGGTTAGAGGAGTTTGCAACCTGAAGCGTATGTAACCTGAGGTACCACTGTATATAGATAACACTTTCTCTGTGTGATTAAATTTAAAGAATTCATTTTGACTTCAGAACAAGTTTCTATTCTCATTTTACAAATGTGGAGTGAGACTGAGAGTGACTTTGCCAAAGGATTTACACAGTGAGGTACTTAATACTGTTAGTATTAAACTACCATATAAAATGACACTTTTGTTCCTTAACAGCAGGTTGGGGATCATTAACATATACACAGAGTGCCTTTGTGCTTGTGGAAATTATTATCTTAGAAGATCGCACAGCTTTTGGTAAACTTAGTACCATCCACTGATCTCCAGTATTTTCACACCTTTTTTTGCATTTCCACATTGAAATCTACATTATATAGAACGTGCGGATGATTTTAAAATGGCTTGCTCATGCTTTGATTGCATCCACGCATACATGCAAATAGCATGAGAAAGTTTCAAAGGTGCTTATTAAGGCAAGACTAGAGAATAAAAAAGAGACACCTGAATGCAAATCTATCAACATGCAGAGTTTGACCCTTAGTATTATGCTCAATGATTTTTAAATACTCACAGTGTTTGTGGTATAGTGTTTATAGTATTGGACAAGGATTGGAGAGTTCCTAGTTGAAATCTCTACTCAGCCATGATGCTCACTGGATGACCTTTGGCCAGTCACTATCTCTCAGCCTAACCTACCTCATAATATTATTGCGCAGATAAAATGGGGATGGGCAAAGCTTTGAATCTTGCCCTTCAAGGAAAGGCAGGATGATGGTGATGGTGATGAAGATGATGAACAAAAGACAGAAAAGGGACTAGTGAAATTTTATTGGCATTTCACCAGGCAAACTTGTGAGGCTGGGTGATAAGCGTGGCAGGCATTTAGAAAAGGATTAGAAAGAAAACCTGATACCAGTGCTACTATAGAAAGCGAGTCTGGAGGTTGTATGAAATTTTTGTATCAAGAACTGAGACAATGAGATTTTCTCATCTGTTTTTAGAGATTCATTCCCATTTTTCCAGTACAGCATCAGATCTTCATCTGTGTAAGCATCTGTGGAGGGTAGTGATGGGACAAAAATAATATTACATTTATAGGTCAACAGCAAAATAGTGAAATAGTCAGATGAATCAATGGCTTAATGTGAGAGGGCAATAAAATAATCTGTCGTTTTTTTAATATATAATGGACCTGGATGCTGGCTAGTACTGATACTAATGTCCTGTATTTTTATCTTGTGAACCACCCTGAGATCTTCAGATGAAGGGTGGTATATAAACAATAATAATCTCACATAACTAAACTGGGGTTCTTAAGATTAACAAACATTGGACAGAGGAGGAGAAAGTATTATTACACAAACATGCTTGATTAGTATATCTCTACTCTCAAACTTTAAAAAGGTTTATGCAGCAATCCTACATACATTTATTCAGAAGTACCGTAACTCCTGTGAGCTCAGTGGGATTCACACTCAAATCTGCATAATCCTATGCACATTTACCCAGAAGTAAATTCACTCTTTTCGGTTGGGGTTATTCCCAAGTAGGATTGGGTGAATCTGTTGATTTTGGCTTCTCTCTATTTCTCATTATCACAGTTTTAAGTTATCCACATCGTTAAGAGTTTACTATTAAATTCTCACAATATACACAGTTTTGTATGCAATTTCTTTATATATTCCTTGTATAAGCATTTTTGGAAGGCATTTTGGTATGTTATTTTCACTCATATATGCCCTCATATATGTATCTTTGTACAGATTTCCTGGCTGGAGAAATGCTTTGCAAAATTTAGAGAAGTGTGAATCTCAAAGGATGGCTGTGTTTCAGTGATGATGAGATAGGTTCTCCTTCAAATGCAAAGTAACCGAATTTCTCCCTATTCCTTCTTCCAAGTAGCCATACATAGTATTGTAACCTTAAGCTTCTGTCCCTCTCCTTCAAGGATTTTGGGAATAACAAATCTATAAGTGTGGTGTGCTTGGGATCTTTTCTACCTTTTTTTAAAAAACGAAACTGTAATTTTAAACATTGCGCACTACCCTGAGTGTTACTTTTGTTCCAGATGGGTGAGACATGCATGCATACATACATAAAAATTGTTAATTCTCAGCACTCTCACCAGATGACAGTTCCCAGGATTCTTTGCACAGCAGCCATGAGAACTGCACTGTTATAGAAACAGTATCATTTGTAGTGTACATATACACAAAATTGTTGGAACATGGCATGGCCAAATGGTAATACTAAATAGGATCTTGCCGTATTTACCATGAGTGGTGAACCTTTTCTCAGCCAGTGGAGACACGAATGTAAAATTTATGGTTCACAGAGCAATTAAGCCTCTTCCAGAGTCAGGGATGCTCAGCATTAACATCTGCATAATTGAAACATGCCTTTTCTACCTCCTAGACTCCATGGTCTGCAGGATGTTCCATTGGTTGCCGCTTGGTTACAGTGACATAGACATTTACCTAGACATATATCCAGTCTCTGATATGCTGGATTCTATGCTTGGTCAGCTCTTATATGACTACATTTATTGGCTTGTGGTGCACAGTCATCGGCAGATCCCATGGATCCTATGTTCACTTTAACATGCACACTTCAAACAAATCCATAAAGAATTGTGTAGACATCTAGGAAAACATTGCAGATAGAAACATGAATGGCACATACAGCTTTCGAGCTCCAGAGTACAAGTCTGCGAATCTAGCGGAAATCGGCTGAAGTCCATGTTGCACATGGCTGTAACCGTGATCCTAGAAATTCCAAAAAGAAAAGTCAGGTTCGCTAGGTAGGGAATAGGACCGAGTCACAGGTGCAGGGGAAATATAGGGAGATAGTACCCTCCCCAATCTCCATACTTGGGCAGGCTGCAAGTTGTAATTGATTCAATTGGTAGATTAATAAAATTACAGTGTAATTGCAGATTAATTAGTGGAGCTGAGATAACCAGGATCACTGTGGAGGCCACATGCACTAGGTTTTTCTCCTTCTTTCAGGTATTATATTAATTCCTGTTTTGCCACTTGCTATACAGAGGAAGGTAAACAGCGTTTCCGTGTGCTGCTCTGGTTTGCCAGAAGTGGCTTAGTCATGCTGGTCACATGACCCGGAAGCTGTCTGTGGACAAACGCCGGCTCCCTCGGCCTTTAGAGTGAGATGAGCATGCAACCCCAGAGTTGGTCATGACTGGACCTAATGGTCAGGGGTCCCTTTACCTTTACCTATACAGAGGAACAAGGGCTCCTGAGTGTGTTAGTTAAAACGGCTGTCAGATATTAACCATCAAATATTATTATTACACTGTAGAGCTATTCCAATATATTTCTGGGCAAACAATACAGTGCTGTTCACATTGAGCTAATTGGTGCGCTTTTCACCTCATACTATAGAGCACATGGCCATCTGGGAACACCCGCAGCATGATGTTGTCAGTGGTTGTGTCATGAATGAAGGATCTTTTTGAGTGAACGAAGAAGACATCTGGCACCCAGATCTTCTTCACCAGCCTCCCATCGAAAGTCATGCTTTTGTTAGTATGACTGGGAAAGGAGAGGCGCTCATCCTTCCAGTAATGCCTCAGGTACAGGGTCATCGTAAAGTCCTGCAACGAGAGGAAGATAAAGGGGAGATAATGTGTCTTGTGGTTATATGTTCCACACATGTGAAGAAATGAGTAGAATGGATGAGGAGAAAGTCCAAATGATGTATCCACTGCTGAGGTACAGAATCACTGTTTGTCTTTAGCAGCATCCCAGAGGACTGGAATGCCTTTCTTGTCCTCCTCACTTGTTTACCTGTTTATGAACACATAACACACATAGCTGCTTCTTTGTTTAAAGTCAAACCTATAATGATATCTCTATCCGTGGTAATCTCATAACGATATTAGTTGTAAGAAATAATTAAAACTCAGGCGTGGGACACCTTACCTTTACCTGGAAGCAAAATATGTTGTTTTTTTCCTGACCAGGCACAAGTAATCAAACCTTAATTGAAAATTACATACCATATCGACCTCAGAAATACTGTCCAAACTTTCAACCTGCACGTCCACCCCGACAGGAATAGCAGGGCCTGTGACAGAGTGAAATTGAACTATTAAAAACTATTATAAAAAAAACCTATTCTTATACAAATATTTACATAAAATTGTCATTAAATATGCCATATGAAATCACACAGTACTATACCATATAAATATCTTATTAATACCTTAACTATTAATATCTATCTTCAGCATTTCATAAACATCCTTTTAAAAATGAGAGTCCTTAAATATACCTATTAATATGATCTCACAAAAATTTCCAAAATATAGTATGTAACTGAATATATTAAGCTTTCTATAGCTGCATAGAGTCCAGCTCAAAATTGGACATACTACAACAATGGAATTGCTGGACTCCATTTATTTATTTTTTCCTGCTTTTATTTTGGATATAATTACATATCTGACTGCTTCCAAGTGTTAGTTAATTGTAGAAACTGCTAATAATATTCCTAGAAGAAGAGTTGTTAGCACAGTGCTTTAAATTGCCATACGCATTTGATTTTTGTAAAGTCTACATCAGGGGTAGGCAACCTAAGGTCTGTGGGCCGGATGTGGCCCAATCGCCTTCTCAATCCAGCCCGCAGACGGTCCGGGAATCAGCATGTTTTTACATGAGTAGAATGTGTCCTTTTATTTAAAATGCATCTCTGGGTTATTTGTGGGGCATAGGAATTTGTTCATATATTTTTTCAAAATATAGTCCGGCCCCCCACAAGGTCTGAGGGACAGTGGACCGGCCCCCTGCTGAAAAAGGTTGCTGACCCCTAGTCTACATCCTGACATCACACACAAATCACATAGTGTTTATGTTCAAGCATAGTGGAAAGTTTTTTTAAAAAAAGAGTATCCTGCTGAGTAGTATTATAAAATAGCAGGAATCATTATAAAAAACTACAGCCAGGGTGAGCACTTTTTATAGAATCAAAAACAATATAAATCCAACAGCCTCAAGCCTTGCATGGGTGGGTTTAGAAGGTTGTCCGTGCTGCAGACCATACTGTTGAATTAAGCATCTGGTGATGAGTCACAGGAAGATGTTAAGAGATTTCTGATCTCGCTAATCCTTGCGGTCATTAGAAAGCTGCTAGGTTTTTAATCCTGTCTCTGCTTCCAACTAAACTACACAGTGGTAGAAGAGGGAGGTCGGGGGGGGGGGGGATGCTGCTCCAGATGATTAGTTAAATTCGTCACCAACTAACACTATAGAAGGGGAAACAAAATAAAACTCTGACGTACAGGAAATAAAGGGTGGGGAAGGGAACAGAAATGGAAAACCCTGAAAGTATCTGTTAGAGATTCTAGGATGCAATGCATGAGGAATGTCTCTTACACAAGTCCCTATCAAATGAGCAGCTGGGGGTGGTGGTAGGAGCTGCATGGTGATTGGGAAGCTTATTTTGCCTGTGGCCCCCAGTCTTAGCTTGCTTGGTTTCTCTCTCCTAGTAAATATAAAGCAGGGATGGGGAGCATCTTTCCCTCGCAGCCCACCAGGCTGAATTCCCTAAAGGGGACAACTGTTGAGTGGCTGAATACCCAAAGGGGGTGAGGCCAATGCCAATATGCTAATAAGCCTGGTGCTAGCACAGAGGCTGGTGCTAACCTGGGGTTGAGAGACCCTGAAACAGAAAAAAAACAGTGCTATTTTTCTAGAAAAATAGGTGTTGGAATTCACCATGAACTCCTCCCTTGTTCTCTTATAATGGCAATGGCACCCACCTGAGAGGTGCTAGAACTGAGTTATGGCTGGGGGAAAGCCCTACAAAAAACCACAGGGTACCTGCAACTTCCATCTACAGTGGTACCTCGGGTTACATACGCTTCAGGTTACATACGCTTCAGGTTACAGATTCTGCTAACCCAGAAATAGTGCTTCAGGTTAAGAACTTTGAGAACAGAAATCGTGCTCCTGCGGCGCAGCAGCAGCAGGAGGCCCCATTAGCTAAAGTGGTGCTTCAGGTTAAGAACAGTTTCAGGTTAAGAATGGACCTCCATAACGAATTAAGTACTTAACCCGAGGTACCACTGTATTTCAATAGGGGTTGTGTGAGAGACCTTCTCATTGGTAACTTTGCTCCCTATTTCCATCGGTTCAGAGTTTTGTCTACTTTTTAATGTGTGGAATTTTGTTGCTTGCTTGAGCCTGTTCAGGACTCCTTCAAGTGACCTATTTATTGAGCATTCTTCCTGATTTGCTTGCACAAAGCTTACAGGGAGGGTAGATTCCTTTTGATTTGATTGCAGGGAAGTGATATGGCAATGAGCATTCATCCTGATTTGCTTGTGAGACATTTACAAGATTTTCTATTAATCACTCGTTCGTTCCACACTTTTCATTCCATTACTCTGTTACTTTCTTAGAGGAAAAGAAGTCAATTTCTTATATATATAGCTAATTTGTTGTGCTACAGCAAAAGAGTGCTTTAACTGTGCAATCCTACATTTCTCAGTATGCACTTGAATCCCTCTCACAAAATATTAACAGTTTGGAGGCAGCCTCAGTTAGGAATTTTGGCTTATCTTGGATATGTTTATCCTTGTACTTATACTTGTGTTTCTAAGCATCTGATTTAATCACAGTAAAATATGGAAATGTATATAACAGCTCTCACGTGGACGTCATAAAGCATATGAAACTTCTAATTACAGGGGCAGAACTTCCCCAGTGGCACCCTGTGTGATGCCAAAATTCGGTGCCCCCGAGGCTCTGCCATACGTCTGGATTTTCCTGGACACTAGTGGTATTTCAAAGGCAGAATGTCTGGGAGGAATTTCCGAAAGGCGGTGCTTTGAGAGCCAGTGTGGTGTAGTGGTTAAGAGCAGTAGTCTCGTAATCTGGGGAACCGGGTTTACATCTCCGCTCCTCCACATGCAGCTGCTGGGTGACCTTGGGCCAGTCACACTTCTTTGAAGTCTCTCAGCCCCACTCACCTCACAGAGTGTTTGTTGTGGGGGAGGAAGGGAAAGGAGATTGTTAGCTGCTTTGAGACTCCTTAAAGGGAGTGAAAGGCGGGATATCAAATCAAAACTCTTCTCTTCTTCTTCTTCTTTGACCTGGATCTTAGACAAGTCAATAACTTTTGGGTCTTCCTAAAAAAAAGCTCAACATGGCAACCCTAGCTCTGTGCCCAGTGCAACCACAAACCAAACCAAACCTCTGCACTTCACATTTTCCCTCAAGCAGCAAAATGGGATGAGCCATCCCTGTAAACAGCATTTAGGTGTTTACATATTTTGAATAATAAAATGAGCACATACAATGCCAGCCAGCCACCTCTAGCTATTAAACGATATATATGTGTGTGTGTGTGTGAGAGAGAGAGAGAGAGAGAGAGAGAGAAAGAGAGAGAGAGAATATGAAGAAAGGATATCTGGCAACCAGTGTCAGCTGTGGTGGTCCCTGGCATGACCCACAGCAGACCAGGTGTCGATGTGGGGTGTGTTTGCTGCTACCTACATCATCTGCGACCCTGGGGTGGTCATTTGGGGAAGTGGGTGCTGGGCTGGGCTTCAGCTGCAAGGTCTTGCCTTAGTTGCATCACTGCAGAGGAGCTTCTTGGGAGCCAAGATCTTGTAGGGAGGTGGGGGCTGTCATGGTGCTTTGAAGAACTTGCTTCTCTCCCCCCTCCCCACCTCCCCCCTTTCATATACTGCAATCCTACATCTGAATGAACCTCGCAGGGTTGACATCACTCCAGCTTTTACATTTGTGTACACAACAACATTACGTCAGCAATTCAGCATGGATGACTGGAAGGTTCTGTAGGTTAGGATTAAGTTCTGCTGGCAGGGCTCTGCAGAGAAGCTTATGCTGCTGCACCTGCCCGCTAGGCTCCAGGCTGTGGTGGCTAATCCTGTCGTTCCGTGAGCAACATTTGCTATATTTTTATTTTCAAATTGTGATTGGATTTTAGATCTCCTTTAAGAGGCAAGAGATTAATAATCTGGGAGGCTGAAGCCCAGACTTGACCTTGCATGAAAAATAAGCACAGTTTTAATTATACCAATGATTAAGTACAAGGTGCTTCCCATCCACTTTGATTTGGAATGTTTTATAGATTTCATTTCAAGGAAAGGACATGCTAAATTTGGTTGTGCTCGCTCCTACACTGAATCAGTGACCAAACAGCATCAAAAGGGAGCACAGTTACAGTGTCTAAACAGTGCAGAAGTAGTGTACGCATTTATTTTGACAATGTGCCCCCAAACCTGCAAAAGCAGGAACCAGATAGGAAGGCACATGCAGCATTAATCTAACATAGAAGCTACCCGAATATACACAAGTTAGGCTATCTCTGTCAAAATAAGGGCACAGCTGAGCCACCAGCCAAAGGTGATGGAAGGCACTTTGCACCACTAAGGCCGCCTGAGCCTCAAGCGACAGCAAAGGCTCCAGAAGTACCCCCAAACTACGTAACTCGCTCCTTCAGAGGGAGTGCAGCCCCATATTTATCCGCAGAGCCCTGCTCTGGTGCCCACAGGATCATCTCCCCTGCCTCTCCCTGCTGCCAAATTGATGCTTGAAATAAACATTATGTTGTAGCCAATGCATCAAGCCACAGAGTGTGCTTAATGGCTGCAGTCTGTGTGTCATGCCCACGACATTTTCTCCATTTTGCAAACATGCGGACAGGCACCCAAAAGATAGCAGAACCTGCTTTTAGCTCATATGTGCCAATTAAATGTCACCCAGTAGGAACTGGCTGGTACTACCCTGGGTGGGGAATAAACCGTATCACAGGAACCGTATTAGGCCGTTCTTCGACGGAAAAGATACAGCTATTTTAAGTATCAGCTAAAGCTGCTTATTCATGGACTCCCTATAAAAAAGAGAGATGTCCTAGATGAAATGCTTACAGTGAGAGTTTGAGGAAGGGAGCCCAAATGAAACATTTACATAATCTTTAGATATTAATATTTGTAGTAAATAATACCTGAACATCTGCTAGCTCTGACAAGGTCATTGGCACTGAGATAACTCTGAAAGGGTCAAATCAAATGTGCTCTCATATTAGGACAGGGAAAGGCTCTGCCACATGCAAGGAAAGGAGAAGTCAGATACATGAGGTGAACAGAGAAGGTTTTAGGTATATATTCATATGGGATCTATATATCCTGTATGGTGAGATGCGGTGGACATGCCAAACTGAGACAAAGGCCCATCTATACTGCTGTTTAAAGTGGACACTAAGCTTCCTGTACCTCCATGAATGAATCTTTATTTGCATCAGCCATCGGCCATAGCAATAAAACAGCATCCATTCATTTTCCATTGTCCATGTGATATTCTCCACAAAATCAATGCCTTCCCACCACTTTCCTCCCCCTTAGTCCGAATTTTCTCATACCATCTCCTTTTTAGAGTATCCCTGGTATAACAAATTGAGGGAGGGGAAAGTATGGCAAGGCAGTGATTAAGAGGAGTGCATCATATGGACAATGGAGAATTAAATGAGGTACAGGAAACTACACATTAAACAACAGTAGGGATGAGACCCAAGAGGTACATCCTAAGAGCTGTGACCCAATCACTTAGGTAAACACACTGAGCTGCTGACACAAATTAGACGGTAATTCCATAGCTCCAGTCAAAGTTGTACCCAGATTTCTTTGTGTGCATGCCTACAGTTAAATTCAGCTTGGTGCTTACGTACTGCATCTGCCACTAACATGCTTTCTGGGTTACAGGTATAAATTGTGCAGCTTAGAAAAGGTCAGTGAATATTTTCAGCAAAATCTATGGGGTAGGAGCATGTGCTTCTTCACCACATTTATAGATCTGACGTTTTATTATGTTTTTGTATGTACTGGAAGCCGCCCAGATGGGCAGGATATACTACTAATACTACTACTAATAGTAATAATAACTACTTGTGCAAAAAAGGTCAATCGTCAGTACTGGAGACTTGAACTCAGTGAGTCCCCACAATGCCGTTCCCACCATTTTTTGTGGGGACGAATTTGCAACACCCCTCCAGTTACCTCCAAAGGCTGGTCTCATGGTGAAATCATGGTCATCTACCCTCAGGAGCTGTTCACTTTTTCCTGTCCGAGTTTTGGTCATGTCGTGGTTCTTCTTATATATGTGACTAAAATGGAAAGCAAAAGAACCGTCATTCCTAGTCATCCTAATAATAATAATAATAATAATAATAATAATAATAATAATAATACTGAAATTCTATATAACTTGGATATTACAATGGAAGTTGAAGTACTTTCAGACTGTCACTATTTTGCGGGTGGGATTCAAGCACATGCCAGCAAATTTAGTTCAAACGATAAAAGTGAATTTGGTGTTCTTGTACAAAATGTCCACTTAAAAAACAACAACAGACTTTTTGTGGCAAGGAAAGTATATGGGAAATGCTCTGGAAAGTGTGGATCATTGCTTGACTCAGTGCCACATAGCCTCCCTGCCACGCTTGTGCAAACTATTCAGGTTGAAACCTCAGTAAACAGGTTGAATGGAAGTGACCTTATAGTTACCACTAGCATAGTAGCAAAAAGATAGCAGAGCAACCTCTTGATATAAAAGTGAATATAACATACATATGTGGAAATTTAATTATAGTCCAGCTAAAGGTATACAGGGGTCAGTTAGGTAAGAGGAAAATGTCTAGTTTTCTAATCACTGCTGATTTAAGAGGGGGGATTAGAATAAATTAAGACCCAAGAGCCCTTTGCTCTAGCAGTGAGATCTGCAAAGTTGTACATACTACTGCTACAGTCAGAAACAGATATAGTGCTAGCTGAGACTGATGGGAGTTCTTTGAGTTTGGTCCAAACTTGTGCAGCCCTAAACAGCCTCTTAGTAGTGATTTATTTCTAACATTTTGAAGTATTCATAATATGGAATGCGGCTAGTACACTGTAAGTCTTTGTGGGGCAGCCATATTTGTGAATTAAGTAACACATGCTCCAGCTCAATAGGTGAAGGTCTCCGCCACATCATACCCCATGCCCATCTAAGAACAGGAAGCAGGAGTGTGGAGACTCACAAAATGGTGGCCCCAGTCTTCATTAGTAGTGTACCACCGCCAAACATTACAGTGGGGAGTGGGGATTGGTTGTCATGGGAGATGCCATTTTGGGCTGTATGTCCTTGTCACAAACACTCTCAGGGGTTCTATCCTAATGTGCAAAGCAACATGCCAGTGGGGAAATCATGGATTAGCACACTAAGCTCCCTTTGTTGGCTCCCATTAACCAGATCACAAACTTCTGAAGCAGGGAGCCTCAGGCATTCATGGAAGCTCCTGGAACAATTTAGAGCCCTAATCTTCCAGAATTCTCAGTTGTGCATGGAGGACATTCCATGCTTGCCCTCCAACTTGTGGAGAGTGATTGAGACTGTGGTGCAGAGCTTAGCACACTCACGACTACTATAGTGTTGTCTTTATATATGAGTAGAGCACCTGAGGTTGTTATTGGCACCCGTCTGTCTTGAGACGCAAGAGGCAATGGAGTGTGCCTCCAGAGGTGAAGTAAAAGTGCTGTGTTTTCAGCACTAAAGTGGCCTCCCCAGGGTGTGCAAGCTTGGACAGTTTGTATGGAGGTCCTGGGATGCCCAGATGACAAGACCTTCCCCCCCCCTCGGCCTTGCTGATGTGGTCAAAATGCTGGATATAATGTGTGTTCTGCATATAGGCAAGGGGTGGGAAGGCCTGAAGAAGAAGGGACATTTTTGAACCTGATGTTAAAGACTAATAGGGAGCCAGTGCAAAGAATGAACAAGACTGGAGATTGAGGTTATGATCACAGAAGCTGGAGAGGGCTTTGTGGATCAGTTGAAGAGAATCACTATAGCAGGAAAGGAGTGATCCTGCCATCTATATAACATGCAAAGTGACAACAATTTTAACTGACTACAGGGAGATGCTGGAGGTCTTGGAGGAAGAAGCAATGTCTTCATTTAAAATCCCCCACCTCCAATCACTTGGCTACAACCCACCCACTCAATATGACCATCCAATTCCTCCCATATGCTTGTTGTTTGAGGCAGTAAAAGGGTGCAGATAGCATTAATCTGAATGCTCCAACATTATGTTTCTTCTTCCACAGCGTGCACCTTAACTGTACTTATTTAGTAGGTCTTCACTAGTAAACAAGCTTATGTTTGAAATTGTGAGCAATTATAATGATTAGGAGTTGTATTTGTTTGGTACACTGAAAAAATGTTTTCCTAGTGCTTTCTAAATGTTAAATGAAATTGTGCCTTCTAAATGTTAAAGCAAAAGTGGTCAGGGGTTAAAAAACAACAATGTATTTTTTTAAGCTAATAATTGCTAAAATCTGTGTGCTGACAGGTCTCACAAAAAAATGGTTTATTCTACTTCTGTGCCCCACAACAACAAAGAGCTACAAACAGTATAAAACAAGTACAGTACAACACTTTTAATCTGAGAAATGTTGGAATGATAGGGAAAGGAAGATTTTATGAAGCCCACTGCCAAATGAAATAATGCCATTATATGTTGAAGCAGAAAGCATTAATCGATTAACAGCTTGATAGCAGATTAAAAATAGAGTTCCAATTAATCAGAGTCTGCCATCTGGGGCATTCCCAATGCCACTTACAAAGCCACAACCAGCTCTCCAAATTGGCTCCTTCCTTCTATGGCAGGATCTCCCTTCATGCGGAAGAAGGGGTCTTTGAGGAAAGCTTGGTCTCTCTTGGATGCTTCTGCCCAGAGAGTAGGTCAAAAATCCAGAAAAGAGCTGGCCCTACTGCTAGGGTGTGTGTGGCAGCCACCTCAGGTAGCAGTTGCTGAGACAGTCAGTGACGTTGAGGTGTTGGACAGAGCTATATGTGCCACACGACCTGCCCTGCACCTCCTAAGCCAGTCTCTGCTGTCCTAAATTGTGGTGGAGGATGCTGATGTTGTCCAATTGCCAGTGTTTGAAGTGAGAGTTAACCACCTATCTTTGCTGGCTCCCAGTACATTTTTGAGCACAATTCAAAGTGTTGGTGCTGATCTTTAAAGCCATAAACGGCCTCAGTGCTATACACCCAAAGGAGCCCCTCCACCCCCATCGTTCAGCCCGGGCACTGAGGTCCAGCTCCAAGGGCCTTCTGGTGGCTCCCTCACTGCAAGAAGTGAAGTATGGTGTAGTGCTTAAGAGCGGTGGACTCGTAATCTGGTGAACCGGGTTCGCTTCCCCGCTCCTCCACATGCAGCTGCTGGGTGACCTTGGGCCAGTCATACTTCTCTGAAGTCTCTCAGCCTCACTCACCTCACAGAGTGTTTGTTGGGGGGGAGGAAGGGAAAGGAGAATGTTAGTCGCTTTGATACTCCTTGAGAGCCAGTGTGGTGTAGTGGTTAAGAGCGGTAGTCTCATAATCTGGGGAACCAGGTTCGCTTCCCCGCTCCTCCACATGCAGCTGCTGGGTGACCTTGGGTTAGTCATACTTCTCTGAAGTCTCTCAGCCTCACTCACCTCACAGTGTTTGTTGTGGGGGAGGAAGAGAAAGGAGATTGTTAGCCGCTTTGAGACTCCTTAAAGGGAGTGAAAGGCGGGATATCAAATCCCAACTCTTCTTCTTCTTCTTCTTCTTCTTCTTCTTCTTCTTCTTCTTCTTCTTCTTCTTCTTCTTAAGGGGAGTGAAAGGTGGGATATCAAGTCCAAGTCCAAGTGAGAGGGAACCAGGCAGAGAGCCTTCTTGGTAGTGGTGCCCGCCTTGTGGAATGCCCTCCCATCAGATGTCAAGGAGATAAATGACTATACAACTTTTAGAAGACATCTGAATGCAGTCCTGTATATGGAAGTTTTTAACATTTGATTTTTTTATTATGCTTTGTTGAAAGATGCCCAACAAAGACACCCAAAATATTATTATTATTATTATTATACATTGTTTGCAGCAGGGCTGGAGAAGCTGTGGTGCTCCAGGTGCTGGTGGGACTACAACTCTCATCCCTGACCACTGGCCATGTTATTCCGTTTCTGATAGTTTAAAGAATGATATTAAACAATACGCACAATCCCACATATAAATAGTATATTAAAGCTATTTATTCTCATTTTAAAAATTCTGCAAAGTACCCATTTTTGAAATGTACCAATAGGAGGATGTACAGCAATTTCTTGATATAGTGATGGGACAGTTCCCGTGCATACTTTTCACCATAGAGGATTACATGTGAGAAATGTTATGACTGTAGTGGAATAGACACATGGATTATTACAGGTCAGATCCAGGAGCAGGAGGCAGGAATCTAAGCAAGAGATCTTGTTTCACACCAAAAGGTATTCCTCCATAAAAAGAAAAATGTACTGAGGAGTCAGCTCTTAGGAACCTTAAATTGTGCAAAACTATGAACAAGAATCCAGTGCCCATTTATGCATCTGTAGGCCCTTCCTGGGGACCTGTTTATCTATATGGATAAGTATGGTCCTGCAGATTTTAATATAAAGGGTGAAATTCAAGCAAGCAGTGCACCATTGATTTAAGCAGAGGTTGATGGGACCTCTGTGTAAGGCCATCTAAAAACAATGGACCCTGCTTGGAGGATTGCACCATGTTGTAACATTTCAAATCTGAATTATTAACAAGCTGTTTTGTGAAGGCTTTTTCCCCCTTTGAAAAACAGGGTATAAATGCTGTCTTAAATTCTTTCCTAAACAGCAAAGAATTGATCAGTCTTTGTAATCAACAACATTCCCAATTACTTGCACAGTAAAGATTTGGACTGTAAATGTCACAGGAGGGCAAGAGAATGAGGCCAGTAATATGAGGTGAACTAGTTTTGCTGGAGAGAATGTAATCTTCCACCAACAATGGCAGTCCAATAAAATAAATCAGCTCATCCATTGTGAATCTCTTACCCACTGGGACGAAGTTAGTAATCACTTCATGTGCGAAGCTAGAGAGCAACATGCTCTAAGTTCACAGTGTCAGGCTGAAGAAAACACAACTAATAAAAAGATGAAGGTCACAGTGTTTCCATTTAATAAGACGGATTAACCCAACTTTGTTTATAAGGTCTTAACCAGGCAAATGGTCCTGTAAGATGCAGTTCACTGGATGACATAACTGAGTATAAAAATGGATAATATATACTTGGGGTTGCTTAGCAGTTTGGGGAAGATTATCTTTTTCTCATATAAACCATTCACCATGCCTCTATGATATTAAATCTGATAAAACTTTACTAAGACCTTTTAGCTGTTTGGTACATGCTTACAGTACTAAAAAAAAAGTGAGGCTCACCAAATAATTTGCAACAACAAAAGGTAGAATTTATAAATATGAGTATTAGGCATTTATACATAAAGAAAAATAGATGTTTAACCAACAAAACAACAAGCCCAACACCAAACAAATAAAAACAGAAAAGCTGTAATCCTCTGCACATCTATTTAGTAATAAGAACCACTGAACTAAGAGTTCTTCTCTCTGAGTAGACATGCATGATTTCAGGGAGCACATCCTGAAACTGATACAGGCAAGATATTTAGAGAAGTATATTTTATGTCTTATATTTTATACCTTCGGATCTACAATAGGCTTTGGTCAAGATAAAAAGCAGTCCTACGGGTTGTTTTGAAGTAACAGAGCAGTTGATGCAATTTCAATATTTAATGTTCGTGTCTGAGAATCTGTTCCATAATCACATTATCTTTTAAAATTCTTGGAAAAAGAATCATTATAATAGCTCTCAAAGCAGTAATGCAATTTAGTATTATTCGGAAAACTAGAGTTTTACCGCTCTCACACACCAGCAGTTATAGTGCATGTACTTTCTGGCACACCATGCAATATACAGCAGAACTACACGTACTGAGCATTTTCCTGGTGAAAATATATAGTGAAAACTGAAGAAGTGATCAGTAAATTTAACTACTCCTTACCTTATTTGCGGCAGCTCTACTTGTCCTGTCCATCTCCTTTTCCTGTGCTTTCTGCTCTCCACAAGGAAGAACAAACAAAAGATCAGCAAAATTAGTTTTGCAAAATTGTAAGGCATTCCGTGGGAATCACTGCTCCACTCTCCTTCAGTCCCGTAACCGCCTGCCGTGTAAGTACACGCTGGTATAAACATTGAATCAGCTGCATCTCCAGAATCTCACATTTATCAGTGTGATCATTGTTAGAAAGAAAACTGCTTTTCTGCTTTAATATTTTAAACCTGCTTTCCAGGGCTTCCTACTCAGAGCTCTTCCTTTCCTTGCTGCTCAGGGATTGGCCATTACTCATGAAGAAGTTAGTCCTATCTGGCAGCATTTCCACTGGGTCCTAAACAAGTGCTTTTGCAGAAAGCCATTGGGTAAAAAGAATGCAACTCCATCTGCCAGTTTTGTTCTAGCCACTAATCTCAGAATTGCACAATCCTCTGCCAGACTGTGCAAAACCATCTCTCTCTGTTTTTTTATTAGGGAGGCTGGATAGACTGTGTGCCTTACAGAGAGCATTCTTCAATGAGAGGCAGGTGCTTACATGTTCATGATGCAGCAAACATAGCCTAGTGTTACTCTACTGTAGAGTTTGTTATCTTGTAGTTAAGTTAGCCATCTAAAAGAGCTGCCAGCATGCAAACAGAGTCTGTTCACTCTGCTTTTTAAAATCATAGTCTTTCAGTTTTATCATATTTTTAATCAATGCTCATAAATAATCTTTTGTAAACTGCTGTGTGAGGTTTGCTTGAAAAGCAGTATACAGGTACCTTAAACTGATAAGTAACAAATCAAGTGCCATTTTCTTTAACAGGAGGAAAATGCTAGATTGTTAACAAAATAAGTGAAATGGCTTTGTTTGTCTTTAGAGCACTCACAGTTGGTTTCTGATCCTGAAAGGTCATAATGAATGCAGGTAATAATGCTTATGCAGTACATTTTGAGCTTTAATTTTCAAACACTTTCTATACACTCACTATCTCTGTCATCCTTGGGGCAACTCCATAAGGTAGACCAGTTTTTATTAACATATTGCTGATGGGTGACTGAGGCTGGGAGAGTGTGGTGGCTTACCTAAGGCTGTTACAGTGAGATAGCTTCTGAAATGGGGATTTCTGGGGTCAAACTCCTAGCTACTACAACAGCTCTCAGGAGCTCAAAGATTAAAACGAGAAGTTAAATGCCAACTTTAACAATCCCTTGTTTTCAAAATAAAATGTTATTTAGTCAGAGTTGTTTTGAATCACTGCATAGCCAGGCAGCGCCACTTGCATTTCTATGTGATAAGCAAATTCAAGGAAGAAAATAATTTGGCTTCGTGAGATTTGAATATTAATAGTTGTGCAGCTTCTACTTTGATGTGGCATCTCCATATCTCAGGCCAAGATTATGTGTTATATTACAGGGACCAGACTTGATCTTGATTGTTCTAAGGGCAATTTTTTAAAGCCGCATATTCTATAGCATGTATATAGCACTACAAGTGGAACTGACAACCAAATAGTGCAGTACAGTGTGCTCGTGTTCATGTTTTAAGCTAGTCCATTCTATTCCCCCTCCCCTCGTTTTCCATTCCCCCTTTCCTACAGCAGTCAGCCAGCATCCTATGTCCATTTTTACAAGCATCTTTAATCCTCATTGGTCTGTTTTTGGAAGGATTCCACTCCTATGGCTTTCCCTACCAAAGTATATTGTACTTCTGCAAACTCTGGGGCTGCTGCTTCGTTCCTCTGGCTACACAAGGAGCAGCGCTCGGAGAACTGAGTTTACTATTAGTTTAGACAAGTGAGGACCCGCAACAAATTGTTGCATATTGTGTCAAGGGGGAAAACATTTAAAGATTTATTTTCTCAGGCAGGAGTCTGCCCAGAATGATACTTTTAAATGCAAATTACACTAGGCAAGATACAGAGAAATAGGGGATTTTCTTGCCCTTGCCTACCTTCTGCAACACCTTTGCATCCTGAACAGTCACTGCTGGAGGTCAAAGATCTTCCAGAGCAGCATGGTATGGGTGTGTGTGTGAAGATGTCTCAAATCAGCTGAAATGGATTTCTTACAAAAGGAGTGGCTTTTGGTGAGTTGGAGTGGTTGGGAAAGCCCATTGGACAAAGGAGCTTCCACTCATACTGAGTCTTCACTCTATTTCAGGGGTCTTTTTTGGCACTAGGTAGATTTCATAGATGATGTTAGATTAAAATATCTTGTTTTTGCTTATGGGTTTTGAAAATGCTTTAATGAGTTTTTCATTAAATGATGGGCCCATGAAACAATCATCTCAATGCATTATATATATTTCTGGAATAAGTCACAGTCAATAAGCTCTGGGTAAATATTACATATTTATAACTATTTCCAGGATCTTCAAATTTAAAAAAGCAAAATATACACAATTGAATATTAGAAAATGACATTCAAACCTCACAAAAGATTATCCTAATTTCTGGAAAATTAAAACTAAAAAGAAAAGCAAACAACGTTCTGGCCCCTCTTTTTCACAGAGGATAAAAACCCTACAATTTAAGGGATTTCCCCCCTCCCCCAATTTGTTGTGTAGGAAATAAATGTACTTACAAAATATCAACAACTTCCCCTCCCTGCTCAGTTTTGTAATATTTACTATGCAAGTATACCTGCTCTTCAATTTAAGAAGTTCTTTCTCAGGCAATTTTTTATAGACACACTTGAAAATAATAATTATTTATGTTGCCACATAGAATTAAACCACAATTTTATGTGTCTATCAGTTAAAATTACCCACCAAAGCTCACAAGTGATGCATTCAGCCCTCTCACTCCTTAAATATCCTCCTAATGCAGATATATATCCTGTACATCATCTCTCCGGTTATATGCTCAGTTTGTATTAATCATTAATAGTCCATGTTCACACCAATATCAAGGTGTGCTTTTCTTGCAGATATTAATGTACCTCATGATACATTAAATTCAGACGTAAAGTGAGTAAATACAAAAAGTAATTTCATGTAAACAATCCTCATGACATATCCAACATAGAACATTTTAATAAAGAATTCAAGTCACAGTTTTTTTTTAAATGACCAAAACTCATAATTCAAATATATACTCATTGGCTAGATATATACGCCTAAATATAAGAGCTGCCAGTGCTAAAACAAGGAGGAGAATCAGCGCATTTGAGCCCATGTGGTTTGTGTTGACCCTTGGCTGCTGAACCTGATTGAAGTTGGTTGAAGTCGGCACCCTTCTCTGCTGTGCACGCCGCTGGCGAGGGCTCATAGAAGTATTATTTGATGCAGGCTGGTTATGTTGTTCTTGACTTGAGCTGGCTGAGTTGGTCTGATTTTCAGACTAAAAAAATAAAGATTCTGGCTTTAATAGAACAGAATGGAATGGAACATGGAATGGAAACAAAATGCAGCTTGGCAACTTCACTGAGGCTGCCCAGTGAGCTTCATGGGTGAAAGGGGATTTGAACCCTGATCACCCAGTTCCTAGATCAACCCTCTACCCACTACATCACACTGGTTCAGGGTTGTGCATGAACTGGAATGTCGTGCTAAACCAAGAGTGGCTAGCCTGTTGTACCCATAATCTCTTGACCACTGAACATGCTGGCTGATGGGAGTTGGAGTCCAACATCATCATCCCTGTGCTGAACCATGACATAGTGTGAAAGTTTGTTTTATGTGTGTCACTCATTCCGATGACCCAACAAATGGAATAAAACTAGTGAGCTGCTAGATGAAAACAAAGTCATCTAAAGTGAGGTTAATCAAACTATTACTGACTCTCCCCCCTTCTCAGCACAAAATACAATTAATATTACTGGTGAGTGAAATAGATATGCTTAAGAAGACAAACCATATACTCAAGAACTATGAAACTTGCAGGGGGGGGGCAGGAATCAAATCACAAACTCTGTAAGAATCTGACAGAGGGGAAATTGTTGGGGAAATCTGCATAATATTAGCATGCCTGTATTTCTAAATAGCTGGAAAATACTCATCACCAAGCAACAGATGGTCTGACGCGATTTGACAGGATTTTTAAAAACCAATCTGCAGCTCCATCAACCTTTAAAACACACACACACCACACACACACAAGCTTAACTAGGATTTGTCTACAATTTGTCGGTGAATTTAGATTGCATCCACAGCAGTCATAGAAGCAGCTGCCCTGTCACAATACCAGGCCTCAGTTACTTCCAAAGTGGATGGGTTATATAAGCACTCTTCTTGGCTATATTAATATGTCATAATTAAGCAAACAATTATTTAAAATGGTCAGAATTAATACTGCCCTTTATGTAGTCAAATTTACTTGAGAGATTATAAACAAAAAGGAACATGATAAGCATATTTAATAGAATAAAAGCTGCAAATCACTAAAGAGCAGGGCCTCTATTTGCTTTGGTTTATATAAGTCTCTCAGGCTTAGGGATAAAACAAGTGTGGCTCTGGGGGCAAGTCCATATCACTGCTGCAAATAAATTACCTTCTGTACAAGGACCATTTAGATTCAAAAAGTCAGGATATTCTCTCTCTCTATATATATATCTCCTTAGCTTACAAAGATGTTTAAATTGGATTTTGATAGAAAAGTTAAAATAATATAGTAAGCAAGGCCAGAACTAAAATAACTGATGAAAAGGATTTTCTACGGGCCAACAGCTCTGAAAAGTCATACACAGTAAAAGCCTACTTATGTCTATCAAGATATAAACCTCATTGAATTTAAAGGAACTTACTCTCAGGTAAATCTGCATGGAGCTGCAGTGACAAAAGGCAACAGATGAGTAAAGGAAGGTGACAGGACTTCAGGAATAGTAGTTTTACTGGAATGCTAATAAGCTTTTAAAAATGCTCTAAAGTGACATCCTATCAATATTATTTGGATTGTCCAAGTCTTTGCCTTCATTTGTTTTTCTCAGATTTATGAAACACCTACCACTTCATTGGGGGTGGTGTCCTGGAATGCTAGAGTTGTACTTTCTTGTTGGTGTTCAGGTGAACTGGGCAAGTGGTTAAATCCCGATAAGTCTGCAGGTTCAGCAACAGATTTCCTAGATGAGTTAACTTCAGCCTTAAGAGGACAAAACAGCACAAATGGTACATCAGTTAAAAACTCTAATCAGGCATGTTATATAATGCATCTTCTCTCTTCTCTAGCATTATTTATTCAATTGTTATTAAACAAGTGCACACACACTGTGTGCAATGTTATTTCCAGGGCAAGTGTCTTCTCAATTTATGCCTGAAATTCTGGACCTAAGCTGAGATGCTTACATCTTTTGGTTGCCAAAGCACAGTACAACCAATAATTCTGAAACCCACCGAAGAAACTGTGAAGCCATAAATACAGCAGTGTGGCCAACCCACCACATAATCAATCAACTACTGCTGCCTCCATTCTTTCCAAGTGAACTGTGACCTGGCTAGCTGCACCAACCAACCTACTCTAGGTATGGTCCTATTCAAATTAATTGGGGGGGGGGGGAAACAGCAAATAGTTAGACAACCTTGAAACTAATTTGTCTGGCAAGTTCCTTAGCCTCTTTGTCAGCTTGGCTTGAAGCACTTCCAGATGTTACTGGCAAGAGGGCTTCCTTCATAAGTGATCCACATCCTTCACAATAGAAATCCTGAGACCTGGAAAGTAACAAAAGTTTATACACTAATTTAATTGAACTACCAAGAGTGATCAAAATATCCAGCATTCTTAATGAATCTACACATGTATGAAATTATAACGTCCGCCATAGATCTACCAGCACAATTGCTATTAAATTTTGCTATCTATTAGCTCCACGGTGCATTCTTGACAATAACATATTTGCGGTAAGAAAACAAAACACAAGTGACTAAATGTTTTGCTCTTAAGTATTTATTTAATAAAGAACATGCAAAAATAAGAATAGCTGACACCTGATCCTTTGCATGTTTATTCAGAGGCAAATCCAGATGTTCAGTGTAAGCATTCATAGGATTGTCCTCTAAGCTAAGAACAGAATGCACAAAATAAATGAAGGTGACCATCCTGAGCAAAGTGGGACAAATGTCTGGGTAAATATGCTTATGAATGCAATGTAACATACTGAGCATTATACACTAGCAAATAATATGATTTACCTAGCCAACTTAAGAGGAACATAGGAATAAGATTCAGAAATAAGATTCAACCCCCCCCCAAAAAAAATTAGTCACAAAAACAAAAACAAACCCTTACTTCTTAGCAAGTGCTCTTCTTTCCTCTGGGGTATAGTCTAGAGACCCTATGGCTCCCTCCCCTTTCGTTGGCATAAATCCAATAATAGCGAGCAATGCAGTCCTTACTGTGAGCAAAAAAGAACAGGGGTGCAGGTTAAGTACTAAATAGGGGAGGGGGAGAAAACTACTTAACATACAAATTTATAATAGGTAATTTTAAAAAAATAAGCCCAAGGTAATGCAAAATATATTAAATCCTGCCCCCAATGTCCAACACATGCCTGAAGAGAAGCAGGAATGTCACATAACATTTAAAAGGAAAGATCTGCTGTTGAATGTAGCACAGCGATCTTACAGTGGTACCTCGGTTTACGAACTTAATCCGTTCCAGAAGTCCGTTCTTAAACCGAAACCATTCTTAAACCGAGGCGTGCTTTCCCTAATGAGGCCTCCCACTGCTACCTTCCACCATACAGATTCTGTTCTTAGACCAAGGTAAAAGTTCACAAACCAGGACACTACTTCTGGTTTTGTGGAGCTTGTAAACCAAATCGTTCATAAACAGGACTGTTCTTAAACCGAGGTAACACTGTACTTGTGTACTGAGGCCCTTTGCTGCCAACAACAGCTGATACTTACTGCTCCATGATGGTTGCCATGTTTCAGGATGATGCCCTGAGATGCTTAAGCAAATTTTCTTTCCCACTTCAAACCTGCCATTAGCCTTAGATGGGCACATAAGAAAGAAAGATAAAGAAAAATAATACTATGTAAATCAAACCATTTTCATAAGTCAAGTTTCAATTAGCTTGAAGAGAATACAGGATCTTTGGAATACCGTACAATTGTACAGTCAACATTCTGTAAATGAATGTTACTGAAAAGAAACTTGAAGTCTCAGCTATAGCAGAATTATTGTAGTCG